AGCAACTCATTGCCTGTTTGGCTTCAGTTTCTTCGAGTGAAAAATAGGAGAACTGAAGGATGGATAAGAGTTTTATTTTTTTTTGCTCCCAGTCCCCAACCCTGCTATTCCATATGCAACAAGAAAAATTTCACGAAGGTTCAGGACAGCACCCTCCCAGATCACACAGAGAGACCCACCTTCTGCTCCATGAGCACCACTGTGGGGCTCCCCATGCTTCTCAGAGTAGCGCAGCCCCCTGCTGTCCTCCATACTCAGAGAGCTGAGAGCTCATAGCACTTTGGTTTTTTCCAAAGACTGTCACATGTTGACAAATCTAAATGAAACTCTATTTACAGGCTCAGTCCTGTGGTTTCACGTGGCTTCCTCCTGCTCTTGCCTCCATGTGAGAAGCCCACTTCTCAACTTTCTGTTTTCTGCAGAGAGACAGTTCTCCCCAGCCAACCATTCCTGAATTCCTATTAACCTTTCATTAAACCTGCTGACAGCTGGCTTCAGCTCTCCATGAGTTAGTTCAACGCATTCCCACTGAAATGTGCCCCACCTGGCTTCATTAAGGCTCCTGCCAGCTTCTCCGCTTGCAGCTTCCTCTGCAAATGCAAATCAGGAAGAGTCAATAATATGGGAACAAAGAAGATTGAGCTAGGAAGGGGCTGAGATTGCAGGACATCCATCACTCCAGGTTGCCATGGATCTGAGTATGCGAAAATCTGTTTGGTCCAGTATAGGTCAATGCCACAGGGCCAAATGCATGAAGTCATAAATTAGAGCCCTCACTGTGCAGTTCAGGGTGGTGATAAGAACATAAGGTCTTTCAGGATTGTGAAAGGGGGATTGTTTGGGGGAAAAGATAGGGTAGATGGGGGCGTATGGGATATATGATCAAATATATATATATATATATGAATATAGCATAATCAAACCTACTAAAAGGAAAAAGGAGGGAAAGGAGAGAGGGAAGTTAAGAAAAAGTAATAGGGTAAATTTGATCAAAGTACATTATATGCAGGTATGCATATATCACAATGGAACACTTTTGTACAACTAATTTATACGAGTAAAAATTTTTAGAAAAGGAGCAGAGGGTTCTTCAGACCTGGTTCTGCTATAGGAAACTGGGCCCAGTGACCTTGGTTAAGTTCCTTCGCCTACCTCTGCTTCTGTTTTCTCAGCTGTAAAAGAGAATAATCTAGCTGCCTCACTGAGCTGCTTGGAGGTTTAATGACATAATTGCCTTGTAACACTTATCAGCGTACACAGAATGTAGTAAACTCTCCTTATGGATATCACGGGACTTATTTAACCTACAAAGGTCAAGTTGCTTTAAGTCCTCAGGGTTTGATTGTGGACCCACCCTGTAAACATCAGCTGGAAGAGCCATGGCTCCATCTAAGACCTTCCTTGTGGAAATGGAAACCAACATGACTCCATTCTGTGGCATTCCCACGTGGGTTTTTTCTCATCTAGATTTTAAGCTCCTTAAGGGAATCACTTCTCTCTCCTGGGCTCTCCCTCCCCAGCACATGCTAGATACTAGACATTTGTTTGAGATGGTTACCAATTCATCCTGATCACAAAAGAGAATGAGAGAAACAGCTACACCAACAGCATCCTTTAATCAAGGACTCTTAAGTGTAAGCAATATGTATATCATATATATACATATGTATGTATGTATATATGTGTGTATTTGCAGTGCTGGGGATTGAACCCAGAGCCTTGGTACATGCTAGGCAAGTGCTCTATCACTGAACTACATCTTCAGAGTATTTTTAAATTAATTTGTCATTTCATAAAACTTACCCCTTACCCAGGGTTTTGAACTGGCTGTCTTGTTCTTGCCCAGAGCCATGTTTTACTTGCCCAACATTGTTTCAAACAACTCTAAATTTCCTTCCCTTTAGTCAGCCACATGCACATTCTCATTGTCACAGGCCACATCACCTCGTTTCCTCCCTTAGCTGTGTCAGCTGCCAAGGCCCTGAAGTCATCAGCGTGTCACCCTGCCTCAGGCAAAGTGAGTCAAAGTGCGTCTTCTATGTAGGTCTAAGGGTTGAGATGGAAAGGTCTGGAAGTCAGGAGCCAGGAGGCCTAGACTGAGGAGAGGTACCTCTACCAGGGCAGGGAAAGATGCACAGCTGGTGGTTATAGTTAGGGATCAGAAGTCCTGGCAGAACATGGAGCCAGCTTACAGGAGGCGAAGCCTCAGGACCCATCTGCTGCTGGGGAAAGTCCTGACCCTCTGTCCAGCCAGTTTCACTACCACACAGCCATGGGGAGGGAGCTTTCTCCGAGCTCTCAATCCACCAGTCAGGAATTATTGTGCTGCAATAGCTCTCAACACTGAGGAGCATCAGAATCACCTGGAGGGATTGTTCAACCACAGGTCTCTGGACTCCACCCCAGCATTTCTGATTCAGTAGGTAGAGGATGAGGGCAAGAATTTGCATATCTAATAAACCCGGATGACACAAATGCTGAAGTACATAGATCAAGAACAACCGGGCTAGAGCAGGGATTCAAAGTTCAGGCTATATCCTAAAACTGCTTTGGGATATTTAAAAAAAAAAAATTCAGCTGAGCACCAGTGGCTCACACCTGTAATCCTAGCTACTTGAAAGGTTGAGATCTGGAGGATCACAGTTCGAGGCCATCTCAGGCAAATAGTTTGTGAGACCCTATCTCCAAAATAACTGAGAAAAATGGACTGGAGGTGTGGCTCAAGTGGTAGAGCTCCTGCTTTGCAAGTGTGAAGTCCTGAGAGGTCCAAGTCACACCCCAGACTAATTCCAAAAGAATCAAAGTGTAAGACTCTGGAATTGAGCATTAAAAAAAAACCTCCCTAGTTGGTTCCAATATTCTTCTGTATTATGAGGCAGGCTAGAAGTGGGAAAAGTTTGGGGCTCGTGTAGGTTGCCTGGAGAAGGACCAGACCACCCTCACCTGGCTGGGAACCCCCCCATGCCCCTCCCCACTCATTCATTATTGGGTAGGAAACTTGGGTCTCCCCTCCCATGAGGTAGTGTAGGGTTTAAAGGCACCTGAAAAAGAAAAGGCCTCTCTCTGGGCGGGTGGACTCACCTGAGCCCACCGTGCCCTCTTCTTTCTGCTTCCTTCCCTCACCTGGCAGGACGGGTGATCCCTTCTCTCAGTAAAGCTATGTGCTCTGCTTGGATTTTTCCATTTGGAGCACAGGATGTTCTGATCTCAGACTGCTTAGCACCTGTAATGATTGAGAGCTACTAGGCTAGAAGACGCCACAGTCTGTTGCCATTTCTAAAATACTGTGATTGTACATGTGAGTATGTCTTAGTCTAAGCCAGGGGTTCCAGAACAATATCTGGAAAATGATTGGACATGTCCCCTTGCAAAACAGAAAAATATCATGTCTCTCAATATTCCGTTTTAAAGGTATTTGCTGTCTTCTTTCTCTAGTCAGATCCAAGTTGGCAGTGACAGTGATGATCATGCTTGTTTTGGAAGATAGACATGAAGTATGAGCTAAGATAGGGGCATCACTGACTCACTCAATATTATGCTGGCCTTTGTATAACAAGTCCCGTAGCCCCACCCATTTTCCAGATGGGAAAATTGAGGCCTCGAACCTGACTTTAGACACATTTCATCTCTCGGTTTCTAAACTGTTTGAGTTCTACACACTACCCAACTATTATTAGTATCTTAAGCTAACATCAGGACAAGTCAAATGAAACAAAGAAGTCACCAATCTGCTGTTACTTGTTTTCTATTGCTTGGGTCCAACGTGACCTCAACACCACCAGAATGAACCAGGCCGCTATGGGCCCGCTGTTGTCCAGCTGGACTGGGATCCTGTGAGCTAAAGGCAAGGAGTCTATGACCACCCTGGTCAACTAATGAGGCTGATTTCATTTTCTTTTGCAAAGGCAGTGTCAAGAGCATAGCAACACAAGAGAGGGTCATGGGGGAACCGCGTGTTTCTTCCATGAAAGACGTTATCACTCTAAACACGGGGGGACGTTCTTGGAGCAGAGTCTTTCAGATCCAGTTTACTTTCCTCAGTAACCCGTCAGAAGCAGCTCTCATTCGGCACTCATCTTTTACATTTATTCATTCGCCAACTATTGGCTTTCATCTGTCTCTCGGTTCCTCATGCTAGTGCTTATTCACGTTTTAAAATAAGCTACTCTTATCAAGGAGCAAATTGCCCTGAATTCTATTTAGAGGAATTTACTTGCACTGCCTCATGGTCAAATCCATGGACCTGGCCTGTCACTCACTACATTTGGCACTGATGGGCTGTTTCCAAAATTAAATTTTCCAAGCAAGAGTTAAGATGTGACATGATGGTCCCTTTAAAGACACTCAATTTTGAAAATAAAATAGAAAACTGGGAAGTTTTAGAAGTCAACCAAAATTATGGTGTGACTCACGTCACTCTGCATTGTGGACATTCATACCTCCCCTGAAGTAGGGCACTGAACTTGAAAAGCCGAGCAGAAAAGGAGAGACAGGAACACTGGGAGGACAAAGGCAACTAGGTTAGGAGCTAGGAGCGGGACCAGAAATCATGTCCCAAGAAGTAAGGCAATTTAGAGACATTTCCTTCTATTATCTGGAGAGCGACCAGGCACGTTCTGTGTCAGCACAAGGAGTTCACCTCAGGACTGTGGGCAGATGCCAGCGGGAGGTGGATTTTGCTTTAAATATTTCTCACTCTCAGAATGACCCTGGCATTGAATGGACTCCCCTGGGTGTGGTAATGAGTTCACCATTACTAGGAATATTCAAGCATCGTGTGAAATGTCACTTAGCAGTGACACTACAGAGGTGATGAGCAGATGGCAGAGAGATCTAATATCCTTTTCATGTATGAAATTAAAACAAGACCAGACTCCTGACATCCATGGGAAAGGTGAGACTTTTCAAAAAAAAAAAAAAAACAAGAATGAAAACAACCCAGGACTTCTTAGGAGACTTCAAGTGTCATCCCATGTGCATGGGCCTAAGAAAGTCACAAGTTAGAGTGTGAAGAGCCCCTCTTCGTCATCCCTCCCCTGCTGCATATCACTGAGGACGGTTTTGCTTTCTCCTGTGTCGTCCAGCCTGTGAAGACAGAAGGAAGGCCAATAAAGGGAAATGCCAAGATCAGTGCGGAAACCAACAAAACTAAACCCAGTGCTAAATTACACCGCCACAGACCAAAGCCTATTTGAGCTAAAAGGGGCTCAGAATCCACTCAGCTCAAGCTGCCATTTTACAGGTGGCACAAGGGCCTTTGTCTGTTATACTAAGAAGATTCGTTTTCTTAGCAAAGTAAAAAATGATGATCTAAATGTGTTTATTTGCCAAAAGCATCTCAGAGTATGACCTTGGAAGGTCATCAGGCTGGGCCTCAGATTCCCCACTTCTTAATACTTATTCATTGATCAATTTTGAGGTATTGGTGCCATTGATTAGTGAAAGCCAGTTCTTCATCCACAAATTACACCAAATCTTTTCATTTCTTTCCCCAAAAGCTAGAGAACAGGACAAGTATCCAAAATCCAATTCCAGAGATTCTTCAAATACTATTTTTTTTGTCTTTTCTTTCTTTCTTTTTTTTTTTTTTTGGTGCTGGGATTGAATCCAGAGCTTGTGCACGCTAGGCAAGCACTAAAACCACCAAGCTACATCCCAGCCCTTCAAATGCTATTTTTAAAATTCAAACATTGAAAAATGTTTCCATGGTCAAATTAAATAGAGAAAATCCCAGGAATAATATTCTAAATGTTTGTCTGTTTCCACACCAAGTCTCCTCTCAATGAACTCCAATTTAGCAATGTGTTTTCAAAATGAGCCACCAGGGGTAAAGACATTTCAAGCAGAGCAGCAGCATTTCACCTTCTTTCTTTTGCATGCTATACCTCTACTAATGCCACCCGTCACTGTATTTCCTTTTTGGATACATAAACAGTGTTAACTGAGCCAGAGGCTAGCGCAAACTAAATCCCCACAGCCTTTTCACCTCTATTGCCATGTCTCTCCAACCCTGCGTTTGTTTAATCAGAACACAAGCTCAAGTCATTAAACCAGCAAGTAATGTCTGATCATCTGTAACAGCTTGTAGAATCATTGCCACAACCAGTCATGCAAGATGAATTACCTCTTGTGTTTCTGCAAACAATTGGTTTTCATGACTTTCCCTGAAAAACAAAGGCCACGGTGTGAGCAGAGTTAAGTGTGCTAGAACTCATGAAGTACCGGCGAGGGCCCATTCCTTCCTCCTAAGAGCAGCCCCAGGTCAAAGGTTTGCCACTCCCGGCCTCCAGTCAAGGCCTATTAATCACAAAGTTGTTCTAACATTTGGACAATGGTGTTAAGCTTTTCCATTTTTGAGTCTAATTTTCCAGAATTCAAAGGGCTCATTTGGGCTTTTTATGACCTTTTTGTGAGATAGACCCAGAATTTTCCAAAAAACAGTAACCGTGACTTCATATAAAAGCTAATAGCAGGCTTCCAGAAAGTTCTAAATTTCCTTTTGCAGTATTCACCTGGGACAGGTGTTGAAATACACAAACTTCATTATCCCATCTCGTGGCTAGCTGCCCTGAACCAATAGTTTCTCTCCATTTTAAAATGGTACCAGGTGCCACCCGCCTATACTCTGCATGAAAACCCTAAGTCCTATTTCATGACTCCTTTGTGCAGCGTTTAAAACCTCTTCTGGGAGGAGGCTTTGCTTGAGAATTTGGTAAAAGCTCAAGACCCTGTCCTCTGAAAAACGCAAGCATGGACATACGGACATATTTGTAAGTAATTTCCAGGGACTCACATCTCACTGTGGCTCCTGGATTCAGAAAGCTTGCTTTAAGGGAACACACAAAACAAAGATTAGTCATGGCTTTCTTCCTGGGGAAAATGCTAGCAAAAAGAAGAGGGGGATCCAAGATGTCTGCAACCCTCTGCTAGCAATAACAGCCATGCTTTCCACATAAGGCATGATGGAGAGGGAGCGAGTTGGCATATCAAGAGAATGGCAGCAGAACTGGCCCCCAAGCAAGTTCAATCAACGAAGGCTCTCTTACTCTTGTTATTTTCTTTTCCAAAATGCAAATTCCACCAGGAGGACAATACACAAAGCCATTAGCACCTTGTGGAGATAAGTTTACCTGTTTCCTCTCTGGCTGGGGTAGGGAGTGATGGAACTAAGCTTCTTTGGCAATAGGCGACAAGCGCAGGAATGGGAGCCAGCTCACCCCAGATCCTCCTGGGGTCACCACTGCTTGGAAGGCTCTGTCTTACCCGGTCTCACTCACTTACCTCGCAGGAAAAACGCCAGGAGCAAGGCCAAGAACAACACAAATCCCAAGCAAGAAGCAACGATCAGGTGGACAGTGGTCTGGTGAGACACAGGCAAGGAGATTGGCCACTCACTATGGAATGCCACCATCACTGGATGGCACACTGGGGCACATCCTGTCCAGTCACCAGCTTCACTACATCCTACCACATTTCAACAAATGTGTCTCAAAGTCAAAGTAAAGTCAACTTATAAATGAGATTTTTAAAAAACTTTTTATTTTCTGAAAACCAAAGACATTTTACCCCTCTGCCCCAATTTTCCTAAATCTTAGCATAAGCACTATAAGGGAAAATAAATAAAAAATAAATAAATAAATAATAAATAACTGTTGTGAGTTCAGTTTTCTACTGCCGAATCTCTTTCCTAGTCACTGCCTAAATTGTTTGAGCTCTTCCTAGCCCCGTGTACTTCTGTTCATGGCTGGCTTCAGCTTAGAGAAAGCAAGATTAATGAGAAAATGAGTTCCATTTCAAATTTTCTACCACAGTGGTTCTCAAAGCGTGGTCAGGGAGCCCATGGGATCAAAAGGGTTTCTAGAAGATGTGATTTCCATTTTCACTGTCATTCTTGTGAGATGTCCAGTGGAGTTTCCCAGAGGTTATGGGATGTGTGATGACATCATCCATCACTCCACTCATGTTTGTGTGCGTATGAGATCCCTCTCTTGATCTTAATTGTCAACTTGACTGGATTGAGAAGTACCTAGGAGATTAGGAAAGCGCATCTTGGGGGTGTGTCTATGAGGTGATCCCAGAGAGGATTAACTAAGGGGGTGAAGACCCGCCCTCAGTGTGGGTGGCACCATCCCATAGGCTGGGAGAGTGGATGGAATAAAAGGGGGAAAAGGAGAAAACCTACAGCACAGGCATTGCCTCTCTCTGCTTCCTGTCTGCCATGATGTCAGCTTCTCTCTCTACCATGTCCTAAAACCACGAGCAAAACAAATTCTCCCTCTTTTAAGTTTCTCAGGTATTCGGTCATCATGACCAAAAAAACTAACGCACACACTCCTGTTAGCCAGAAATGAATGGGCTATGCAAGAATATAAAAGAATGCCATTTTCTCACTAATTTTTTTAGTTTGGAAAACGAAACAAAAAACACGTGTGTAATGGGTTTGTTATTCTTGGAATTAAATGAATTAATACATATTTTTAAACTTCACAGTTTTAACTTTTAAGAATATAAAAGAGCCCTGACAACAAAAATATGTGGGAGTACTGGTTTGAGTCAGGCATTGAGGCATCTCAGAGGGGCTGTGTCTGTCCTTCCTTCCTTCCTTCCTTCCTTCCTTCCTTCCTTCCTTCCTTTCTTCCTTCCTTCCTATGTTTATACCTTTCTCCCTCCATCTCTCCTTCTCTCCCTGCTTCCTTCCCTTCCTTTCCTTCTTCCCTTCCTTCCTTCCTCTTCTTGTCCCATTTGCCAACATACTAGACCCCTGTGGTAGTGGGGACAGTGGCAAGGACAGGACAACAGACTGTCTCTGAGGAGCGTTTTTCCTTCACAGATATCGATACTGCTTCAAGTTTTACTTCAAGCAACTTTAATCATTTTTGTAATAAAAATAAAGGGTTCCCTCAGAAAATAAGAGGAGCACTGGCAGCAGGTGTTGATTCTGCAGTGTGCCAATAACCCTGGGTCACACCGAAAGGAACGATTTTGTATGTTTTCATAGATTTTTTCTTTTTGCTTTTCAAAGCATCTGTACATATTGAAATAATGGTCAATATTTTTTCTGCTGAAGAGTGCAGGCTACAAATTCTTCTACTGTTTCCTAATAGTTGTGATGCACTTTGCCATTTAGCAATATTCTTCTCTTCCCGTCCTTCGATGCAAACCTCTACTGGGGACTTTAAAAATCTAAGTGATATGCACCAGATATTTCATAGATCCTTTACCTGATTTAACACACCACTACTGTGTCCAGCCATTTGCACCTCAGATGCTGAAAAGGAAAAGAGAAAATGGTTATATTTTCTATAGGAAAATAAGAAACCACCTCCTGAAACAGGTGCTTCAAGACCACCAGCTGATGCGTTTAAATTTTGTGTGCATGTGATAATGGAATTTGAACTCAGTGCCTCACGCTTGCGAGGCAGGTGCTCTACCACCCTTAATTGTTTATCAGATAGGTCTTGCTGTGGATGCATAAAATTGTATGGCACCCATGTCAAAAGGAAAGCAGCCATGAAGGCGTAATAGGAGGGGTGAGGAGTGACAGGAGATGAGGCTAGGGTGGACAGGAGCCAGTCATGCAGGTCCTAGGTTTCATTCTGGTAAGTCTCCACTTCACTCATGGGCCATAAGAAACCACAGAAATGTTTAGGTGTGATGAAGTCTAGTTCAGACAATAAAAGAACAGCCCAGATGAGAGTTATCATTTGATTCCACACCTGAAGTTCAGAGCTAGTAGAAATGAAGAGGGAGAGACAGGGTTCAGAAATGCTTAGAAGGGGGCTCAGTGGAATATGATCAATGAACGTGAAGTGAGAAAAAGTCAAAGCCTTCAATAACTCCAATTTCCTCCTAGAAACACCAGGACATTGCTAACTGTTGACTACAACTAGGAACAAAGAGAGAACAAAAGTGTGAGTCTGGGGAGGGGAGGTGAGAGTCCAACTAGAGGCACTGAATTTAAGGTACCGTGGGCCCCACACGAACACCACTTGCCTAGGAAGCAATTATCTATTTGAATCTGAGTCAGATTTAGGAGTTGGCAGTTGGAAACACTGACTTGGGAGGCACCAGTATCCTGGGAGCAGTTGAAACCCTCAGAGTACATAAAAAATCCAAGAGCTACTTATCCAGTTGGAAGCCAGAGCAGGGAAGAATCATCCAGGAAGGATGTCAAATCATATTTACAATGAAACCCTAAAATAGATACACCACATAAAAACCACAGGAAGAGCACCTGAATATAACAAACATCTAGGCTAATAATTACTGAAATTGATCATTAAGTTTTTCTTCCCAGCTTCCTTGACCTTGAGACAAAGAAGGTTTTTGTAAGACTCATAATTGGTACCAGAGAGATGATTAGTTCTTCAGAGAAATTGTTTGAATGCCAAGGAACATAAAAATCCAAGAAGGAAATTCAATGTGTTGTAATATCCTACAAGTAAGTTTTTGTTGTTTTTCTCTCTGTTATTGTCCCCTAGAGTTGGAAAACACAGGTAAGAATTCAAACTCCTACCCCTGTTCTGTCAAAATCCTGTTTAGTATATTCATTTGTGATGGATAAGCCTGAAATTAGAACCGTCAAAAGGAAAGTCAGCCTGGGTCAGTTTTAGCAGAGCTAATCTGTGTTTTAATTTGGATTTGTCTAATAGGAGAGACATTTTGGAAACAAAAACACTGTGTGTGATACCAAACAGCATAGTTTGTTTTTTTTTAATTCTTCTTCGGAAAACACCAAAAGAACAAATGGGAAGCACTCCAAGAGCTCAAGTGCCATGTGCAGAACAGAAACATAAAACATACGTTGACTTTTGACAGTTTTCTTCCTCCTGAAAAGTAGCAAGGGTAGTGACTAGGGAACAGGGACTAGACCAGGAAAGACTATTGGCTTCCATGCTGTCTGTGTTCTGTGCTATTGGATTCCCAAGGTCCTGAGCTCTGATACAAACAAGAACATCGAGCAGAAGACAGGAGACTTCCAGAACTTGCTAGTAAAGCAATTCTACAAGAGGAATGTTGTATTGGGTTGAAGAGTATTTTCCCTTCCCTCAAAATTATATCCACCTAGAACCTTACACCATAAATTTATTTAGAAGTAAGAACCTTTGAACTCCTACTTCTTCCTACATACACAAAAAAATTAGCTCACAGGGAGTCAAAGACATAAATGTAAGCCCTGAAACTATGAACTATTAGAAGAAAGCATAGGGGAATGCCTTGGGACGTTGCAATGGGAAAAGTCTCTTTTCATTTTTTTGTGGCTGTTATTGTTTTGGTTTTCGTTTTGTTTTTAGATATGACTCCCAAGGCACAGGGAACAAAAGCAAAAATTAGTTAATGGAATTACATCAAACTAAATGTTCTGCAAAGTGAAGGGAACGATTACCAGAGTTAACACATGACCTGCACAATGGGAGAAAATATTTGTCAACTATTTATCTGACAAGGGATTAACATCCAGAAAATACAAAGGAACTCTAACAACTTGATAGCAAAAACCAAAAAATAAGCAAATGATCTGAGTTGACATTTCTCAAAACAAGATAGACAAGTGGTGATGAAGTGTATGAAAAATGGCATCACTAATCTTCAGGGAAACACAGATGAAAACCTGAACAAGCTATCGCCTCACTCTGCCCAAATGCCTCCAATCAGAGACCAAAAACCAAAACAAAACCCTGAAGATTCAGAGAAAGGAGACCTCTTGGATTGACTGAGGACTTTCACTTGCTAGGCATGTGCTGTACCTCTCAAGCCTCGTGCCCCAGTCTGTTTGCTTGAGTTTGCTTTTAGATAGGGTCTCACATCAACTTTGTTCTTGCTGGCCTCAAACTGAGGTTCACTGATCTCTGCCTCCTGAATAGTTACGATTACAGCCATGCATCACCACAACTGGTCCCAAAAAGGGAAATCTTATACACCATCAGTAGGAATGTAAATTAGTATATAGCAATCCCACTACTGGATTCCTAGGAACCAGTATGTCAAAGAGATACCTATATCCTCAAGTTTATTGCAACATTGTTCATAATAGCCAAGATATAGAATCAACCAAAATGTCCATGAATGGATACTGAAAATGTGCATATATATGAATATCATTCAGCCACAAAAGAGAATGAAACCCTGTCACCTGCAGCAGCATGGAGGGAATCGGAGGACATTATATTAATTGAAATAAATCAGGCACAGAAAGACAATCCCTGCATATTCTCAGTCATGTGGGAGCTCTGAAAGTTTAACTCACAGAAGTTGGGAGGGGCTGGGAAAGGTACGGAGGAGGCAAGGAAGAAGAGAAGACGGCTAATGAGTACAGAGATGTGCGTAGACAGGAGAAATAACTTCTAGTGTTCGGAAGCACAATAGCCAGTAATAGGATAACCGCAGTTGACAAAAATTGAACATTTCTAAATAGTTAGTGGAAAGGATTTTGGAAGTTCCCAACACACACCAAAAAAGGACATAATACCATGCTTAGCACAAGCAATGAGCCTGTAAATACTTAGAAGTATGTACAGAAACACATGAATACCACTTGCACCCCAAAGAAAATGAAAAAATACCAAGTACATGTGGCTTTGAGTGGAAATATTACAGTCATTTCAAATGGTTTTCTTCAAATGCAGCAAAATTACAGGACACAGGTCATGCTAAGGGGAGGCTGTGCAAGGGAGGGATAGGGAAAGGGAAGAAAACCAAAAACCTGAGTGAGGTTGATGTGTCACTGTACAAGAATGGATGTAGAAACTTTAAACTGGGTGGGGCTACCACGGGAGAACGAGGAGAACTGGAAGAGGCAAGTCCCCTCGAGCTGGAACCCACATACGCATGGGAAGAACACAAGGAAGCTCCCTGTGTAGCTATCTTTAGCTCAAACTAGCAAAACGTCATCTTTCTCATTTTATCTTTTATGTTTTTTCTTCTACAAAATCAGAAAACAAGAGGGCAGAATAGGTTCTGCCAGTGGAGGAGTGTTGGCCCTGGTGGGAGGGTGAATTTGATGCAAACTATGTGTGCACATGGATGTAAATGCAAAAATGATGCCTGTTCCAGGAGTGGGGCATGGAGGCTGGCAGAGACAAGTGGAGGGGGGAATTCAAGTATGATATATTTGATATATTATAAGAACCTTTGTAAATGCTACAAGGTACTTCCACCCAGCACAATAAGAAAATTTCTAAAAATTTTAAAAATCAGATAATGATTATTTAAAAAATGGTTTTCTATATTAGTACTTTTGTACAATTTCTAAATTTCTCATATGTGAAACTTTTAAGTGTAAAAGGTTCTTTATATCACGTATTAATCACTGGTAACTCTCCAAGATATTTGAGTCACGAGCAAATTTTTAGGGTGTGTTTTTCTGAAGCTATGCCATAATGACCTTCTCACTGATACCTTGAAGATAGCTGTCAGAAACCCAGAAAGGTACAACCAAAAAAAGGATGGGGTGTGCTGTTGGAAAAGGGAAGCCCCTTGGTCTATAACTATTGACATAGAAAGATGGATAGACAGGTAAATATATTAGATAGATAGATGATAGATAGATTAGATAGGTAGATAGAAAGCAGAGAGTTGACAGACAGGCAGATAAGATACATAGATGTTGTTCTTATAGATAAAAATCTCAATGAGTGCCTCTTTGTATTAGCCAATGTCAAGTGGACAATGTACAGGTATTACCATTGGAAGCATGGAGGAATGTACAGGAGACCTCTCTGTACTATTTCTGTGAGTGTAAAATTATTTCAAAATAAAGATTTTTTTAAAAAAAGTTTAAGTAAGAGCTATTTGTTTTTCAGTCTAATGCATACATGGTATGTTGTAACTTTGCAGCAAGATTTGATGAATCAAATTGTTAATGAAATTTGATTTGAAAGTCAGTTTAAAAGAATATAGAGAGGATATGCAAAAAAAAAACAAAGAAATTTTCTTTGTAAAAAAATAATTACACATACATGTGACTATTGTTAGAAAAAAGAACTGAAAGGATCCAGCCCAAACTGTTAAAGTAATTATCAGGAGATAATTACCATGGGGGTAAACTTTCATATTATGGTGTTTTAAATCATTCTTTTATAAGAGCATGACTTTTTTATCTGTTTGTTTTGCAGTATCTAGAATTGAACTCAGAGCCTCACTGAGCCACACTCCAGTCCTTTTTGCCTTTAGTTTTGTTGTTAGATAAGGTCTCTCACTTTTACCTGTGGCCAGCCTCAGACTGAGTTCCTTCCTACCTACCTCTGCCTCCCAAATAGGCAGGATTAC